AATCAATCACATAGGATCATCTTGTGCCATGGAACAAAAGGCTGCTCTTAAATTATGGCAAAGATCTAAAGATAATGGTTTTCGATACACGACACTATTGTCAGATGGTGATGCAAAAATATATCAGTATTTAAATACTAAGGAAGTTTATGGTCCTGAGATAAAAATAAAGAAAGAAGAGTGCATAAACCATGTTAGCAAGAGACTAGGTACATCTTTACGAAAAGCTGTTAAAGAATGGCGGGCAAGAGGGTGTTTCCTTGGGAGGGAAATCCCGTGGCAGTTTAAAGGAAGAGACAATTAAAAAATTGTCACGTTACTATCAAAATGCCATTCGCTCGAACAAAGGTGACGTAGAAGCAATGAAAACTGCAATTAATGCAACATTTGAGACATAGCCATCCTGTGATGACTATGTCTGGGGTGATTCGCGTAAGCTAGAGGTGTGGGATTATCTAAATGATGAGACATTATGTAATTCTTAACACAACTTTTATTAAGAATAACTTAAATTACTTAATTCTAAATAACAACTTTCTTAAAGTGAGAATAAGCCAACAATTAAACCTTATATTCAAGTCAGATCGCGCAACTAGAACATTTATCTTAATTATATTAATTTAACTGTCTAATCTAACTCCTATACAAAATATTACCTTTTATAGAGTCGCCTTCCTTCCTAGGTTGAAGAAATTCCTATTATGTTAATTTTAGATGAGAAGACTCATGCTTTCTTAATCCTTATTATAATTTAAGGCAATGAGCGTATCCTTCTTCCAAAGCTGTAGGACGTCTAACCTTTATTCCAAACAATTCCGCACTAAGCTATCTCTAGGCTTGCCGTGATATCTCACCAAACTTTCTATCCTTTTAAAGTATATCTCATTTGCATATTCGATCCGTTTCTCTTCTTGGTATTGGGTTGGAAAAGTTTTGCCATTAATCGTGGCCGTCAAAGAACTTAGGAGTTATGTTAGAAGAAGAACGCGAGAGACGTCACAACCCCTCCAAGAAGAAAAACGTGATTTATTTAAGGGTTCTCAATGCCCTTAATAATTACGTGTCTAAATTTTATTTCTGAATCTCTTCGCTTTCTAAGTTTTATTTAAATTTTAATCTTGAATCCTCATTTTAACTTTTATAATTTCCAATATTTATCTTGACTTTAATTTTCATTACTCATCCTAGAATTAAATTTAATATTCAACTTAATTTTAAATTTAAACTCGTGACAATAAATTTTATTCCATTAACTAGGCCAACATTAATAATTGCTGTTTAATTCTGGTTCACTCTCACTTTTTACATATATACTCTTAAAGTAACTATACACTTAAATTTTTTTGGAACTTTCCGGGGGTGCGCAGACCCAAATTTTGCATCCTTATCATCATTTCATATGGGCGGGAAATTTTTTTGCTCCATTTTTTCCGTGTTGAAGTTACCTATCATCTATTGTTACAATTTTCGGGTCTGTCGCCCTAAAAATGAAAAACTCTCTGAGTTACTGTTTCCAATTTATGTTTCATAATACCAATAAGTTTCAAAATTTTTTATGCATTATATATTATTTGAAAAAATCACAATAAATTTTCATCTCCACCCCCACATCTGGTTCCAAAAAAACCCCCCAAGAGCCGCGCACCTTTTAATTTTATTGTTAATTGCCTTGACTAAACCCCTTTTCCCCCTGAACCAGATGCCTCATAATACGGAACAGTACAACAACATATATATATATACACATATTATACAATTACAAAATTTTTCAAAAAAACCATTAAAACAAAAAACCCAAAAGGAATTTTTTGGCCATCTCACGAAGTCATACATCGAAGCAAAAAATGTGAATTACAATTTTTTTTCTCCAAAAGAAAAAAATTTTAACAAGTCAAAAGTTCAAAAATAAATGTACACTCATTGTAGTGTCAACTTTTGTTCTTATAATTTTTAAACACCGCCGAGACTTTTTTTTGCAAAATTCTTCCGACCACTTTTTGGGAAAGATAAAAAATAAAAAATACCAACCGGGATTTTTTATTTTCGTCCCCACCATGACGCCCAATGACGAGGTGCTACCACTGTTTTTTTCCTCTTCTTTTTCCCCTCGGCTCCCGGGAAATTTCCCTTTTATGTTGCCTGCTGTAGGGATTTTTGGGTCTCCTTGTGGGCCCTTGTTTTCCCCTTTTTGGTTTGGGGCCCGGCCCGGGACTCCTGATCGTTTCGGGTGGACGTAGGTTGTACCCTCGTCCATCTTGAACCCAGTTGTCTCCGTCTTGTTTTTTTCTTTCTACTTATATAAATAGTATGGATGATAATGGTCTTTTGTTAATATTATTTGTGTCCCTTTTTTTGCCACTTTTTTTGTGGTCCACTTGCCCCTGATCCATATGATCTCTTCATTTTCCCCCTTTTCGAATTTTTTCCTTTTTTTCTTTTCCTGTCGTTCTTAAATGAATTAGAAAGCGATCTGACCAGTGATCTGCGTTTATCGGTCCTATCTGTATTTTTATATTGTTTTGATTGGCGATTAATCCCTTTTTTTCCCCCTAACTTACGTTTCACCGCAGATCTTTTTTTTTCCCATAGTGTGACCCCATTTAATCCTTGATTTTACATTTTCCAAATACTAGTTTCCCTGACGGGTCTTATACTATCTGGGCTACCTGTTTTCCCAACCCCGACCTCGTCACATTTCCTATGACGATATATTCCCTTTTTTGATCAACGTTAACCGTTAATCTTTTCCGATTTCCATATTACAAAAAATTATTGTTGCTTACTTTAATACTCTATAAAAAGGGCCTTCAAATTTTTTTTTTTAAATTTTGGGGCAGGCTTTGTTAGCTGCTGAACTTAAAAATTTTGTTTCTAATAAAAAAACCCCAAAAAATTTACCTTAATTTTTTTATCCTTCTTCGTCTATTAAAATCTTTCCCACCCCCTTTTCCCGTTTTTTGTTTTCGTACTTAGTCTAGCTTCCCCCGAATAATCTTTCTATATTTTGTACTTTGAATTTTTAACCATCCCAAATCATAACTAATTTTTGAAAAAGGGGGAATCAATTTTTGACCCAAAAAAAAATTCAGCGGGGGATTTTCCCCTTGTTTCAAATTTACCCCCCGTACGAATGGGGTAAAACCCCCGTAAGTTTATCCCAAGTATCGTGTTGATCATTAACATAATTTGCCCAAACATTTGTTTTATCTCGATTAACTCTTTTTAGTCCGATTTGCTTGTGGCCTATATGCAACAAATCTTCGCATGCCTTATGCCTAATCTTTCGCTTAAGTGCTCAAAAAATTTCCGGGTATAAATTGAGGACCATTATCACTTATTAATTTTTTGTGGGGCTCCATAACGCGATATAAAGTTATCAAAAAAAAATCCGCTATTATACGAGACGAGGCTTTTAAAAGGTATAATTTCAGCCCATTTGCTGAAATGATCGGTTATTACCCAAAATATAGCGATTACGTCTTATTCTCGATATAGGATACGGGCCTAACAAATCTAACGTCACTATCTCATTTGGATAATTTGATATAATTGGATTTAATCGACCAGCTAGTAACGCGTTTTTATAGTTATTAACTTGGCACATATGGCATGTAGAGACATATTGATCAATGAATTTTCTCATGTACTGGAAATAACAAATGTCCCGAATTTTATGATACGTTTTAAATCTTCCTAAGTGTCCTGCTATTGGCCTGTCATGAAATTCTCTCATTATTTCATTCCTTAAAGATTTTGGAATGTATACACGCATTTCACCTAACGACGTTGCGTGTTTCGCATAAAATAACAAGCCTTCAATTAGACGGAAATCGTGGGACCAATTCTCACATATCGTTGCATTAACCGAGTTATCTTCCGGGTTTTCTAAACATCTATAGATATGACCTAATTCTGGGTCATTTTTTTGTTCTGCTATTAACTGTTCCCGCGAAGTAAGTACTAAATCCCTGATTATGGCACAATTAACTTTTTCTCCTACTATACTGTCCACATGATTTTTCGATAAAACATTAGCCACAATATTTAACTTCATTTCTGACCCATTAACTCGCAAATTCCCTTTATCTACCTTATTATCTTCAACCAGCGAATCTTGAATTTTCAACGATTTCTGATCAAAATCTAAAATAATCTTTGATCCACTTATAAAATCAATACCGAGAATACATGGGTATTCCAAATCCGTCAACACATGAAATGACCAAGTTCTTTCAAATTGTCTGATGCGAATATTCAATTCTACAATCCCCATGTTTTGGCATTTCGCACCCTGTGCTGTTATTACCTGGGCTCGCGATTTTTTTATTTGCTTATAAAAAAAATATTTTCTATATACTTCTTCCGATATAAATGATTTATCTGCTCCGGTGTCCCATAGCGCTTTCAAAAATGTGTTATTTAATAAAATAGGAACGTGGGGAAGTTCTACGGGTGATATACATATCGGAGAAAGCTTAATTGTTGTTTCTCTTGTCGATACTTTTTGAGGTTGATCTTTAACTTTTACAATATTTAATCGTCCCCTTTGCATCCTATCGCCTCGACTGAAATTTTCACTCGAACCCCTATTTCTACGGTCCCCTCTATTAAAATTATCATTTCGCTCATTTCGGAATTGGTAACCCCTGTTGTTGAATCTCTGATCTCTATTCTGAAATCTATTCCTCTCGAACCCTCTATTACTTTGACGGCTATTCTCATAAAAATCATTTCTACCGTTATTTGGTCTACGTCCATCCTCAGAATTTCTCCAGTTTCTACCATTAGCATCAAAATTAGGCATCCTATGCGCGTTTTGACCTCGTCTTTCGACATTATCATTATTCTGTTCATTTCTTCTTAACCAAGAATAATTTATTTCTTAAGCAAAAAAATCAATGAATGTTCAAAGTTACACTATTTTTAAAATCAACGGAATTCAAAAGGATAACGCGCACACAAACTTGGTAATAAAAGTACTACCACAAATATAGATTAATTGCATCGGCCGGGAATCGAACCCGGAACACTCGATTGGGAAACGAACATTCTAACATTGAACCCCGATGCGACGTAAGGTTCTCCTTAAGAAAATATAATTTATTTCTTAAACAAAGAATTAAATGCGAATATGCTAATTTTTACGTTTCTTTATCTGGCGCACTTCGGCCGAAATTGGCCCTTGCGCAATTTAAATTCACCATCACTCACTCACTTATTCACATTTTTAAAATGAACGAATTTTAAATCGAAAATACACAGAATTTTTATAATAATAGTACTAACACAAGAAGTGATTGACTGCAAAGGCCGGGAATCGAACTCGGGTCACTCGATAGGGAAACAAGTATTCAACCCTTTAACCACCGATGAGACATAAAGTTCTCTTTAAGCAAGTATAATTTATTTCTTAAACAAAGAAATCAATGCGAATATGCAAAGTTTCTCTTTTTCACATCTGGCGCAGCTTGGCCAAAGTTGGCCCATGTGCGCCATTTAAATTCACCATCATTAGCTCACTCATTCACGTTCTTTAAAATGTAAACGGATTTGAAATCGAAAATACACGAAATTTTTATAACAATATTACTACCACAAATATGGATTAATTGCATCGGCAGGGATTCGAAACCGGGTCAATCGATTGGGAAACGAGCATTCTACCATTGAACCACAGACGCGACGCGCGTAAAGTTCTTCTTAACCAAGAATAATTTATTTCTTAAGCAAACAAATCAATGAATGTTCAAAGTTACACGTTTTTAAAATCAACGGAATTCAAAAGGATAACGCACACAAAATTGGTAATAATAGCACTACCACAAATATGGATTAATTGCATCGGCCGGGAATCGAACCCGGGTCACTCGATTGGGAAACGAGCATTCTACCATTGAACCACCGATGCGACGTAAAGTTCTCCTTAAGCAAGTATAATTTATTTCTTAAACAAAGAAATCAATGAATATTCAAAGTTACACGTTCTTCAAAATGAACGGAATTCAAAAGGATAACGAACAAAAATAGCACTACCACAAATATGGATTAATTGCATCGACCGGGAATCGAACCCGGGTCACTCGATTGGGAAACGAGCATTCTACCATTGAACCACCGATGCGACGTAAAGTTCTCCTTAAGCAAGTATAATTTATTTCTTAAACAAAGAAATCAATGAATATTCAAAGTTACACGTTCTTCAAAATCAACGGAATTCAAAAGGATAACGAACAAAATAGCACTACCACAAATATGGATTAATTGCATCGGCCGGGAATCGAACCCGGGTCACTCGATTGGGAAACGAGCATTCTACCATTGAACCACCAATGCGACGTAAAGTTCTCCTTAAAAAAAAAAATCAATGAATATTCAGTCACACGTTCTTCAAAATGAACGGAAATCAAAAGAATAAGGAACAAAAATTCAATAATAATAGAACTACCACAAAAATAGATTAAATGCATTGATTGGGAATCGAACACGTGTCACTCGATTGGGAAACGAACATTCTACCATTGAACCACCGATGCGACGTAAAGTTCTCCTTAAGAAAGTATAATTTATTTCTTAAACAAAGAAATCAATGAATATTCAGTTACACGTTCTTCAAAATGAACGGAATTCAAAAGTATAACGAACAAAAATTCAGTAAAAATAGCACTACCACAAATATGGATTAATTGCATCGTTCGGGATTCGAACCCCTGTCACTCGATTGGGAAACGAGTTTTCTAGCATTGAATCACCAACGCGACGTAAAGTTCTCCTTAAGCAAGTATAATTTATTTCTTAAACAAAGAATTAAATGCGAATATAAAAAGTTTCACGTTTCTTCATCTGGCGCAGTTTGGCCGAAGTTGGCCCTTGCGCAATTTAAATTCACCATCACTCACTCACTCATTCTCGTTCTTTAAACTAAACGTATTTGAAATCGAAAATACACAAAAAATTTTTAACAATAGTTCAACCACAAGACGTGATTGACCGCAACAGCCGGGAATCGAACCCGGGTCACTCGATTGGGAAACGAGCATTCTACCATTGAACCACCGATGCGACGCAAAGTTCTCCTTAAGAAAGTATAATTTATTTCTTAAACAAAGAATTGAATGCGAATATGTTAAGTTTTACGTTTCTTCATCTGGCGCACTTTGGCCGAAGGTGGCCCTTGCGCAATTTAAATTCACCATCACTCACTCACTTATTCACGTTCTTTAAAATGAACGAATTTAAAATCGAAAATACACAGAATTTTTGAAACAATAGTGCTACCACAAGAAGTGATTGACTGCATCTGCCGAAATGGAACCCGGGTCACTCGATTGGGAAACGAGCATTCTACCATTGAACAACAGATAAAACGTAAAGTTCTCCTTAAGCAAGTATAATTTATTTCTTAAACAAAGAAATCAATGAATATTCAAAGTTACACGTTCTTCAAAATGAACGGAATTCAAAAGGATAACGAACAAAAATTCGGTAAAAATAGCACTACCACAAATATGGATTAATTGCATCGGCCGGGAATCGAACCCGGGTCACTCGATTGGGAAACGAGCATTCTACCATTGAACCACCGATGCGACGTAAAGTTCTCCTTAAGCAAGTATAATTTATTTCTTAAACAAAAAATTAAATGCGAATATGAAAAGTTACACGTTCCTTCATCTGGCGCACTTTGTCCGAAATTGTCCCTTGCTCAATTTAAATTCACCATCACTCACTCACTTATTTACGTTCTTTAAAATGAACGAATTTAAACGGGAATGTGCTAGCCCAAAGTTTACCCAAGAGATTTAGTTAGAGGTCGCGTATATATTCGTCACAAGGATTCACCATGACAGGCTATGTGACTAACTCGTGATAAAGTTGTACTGATATTAAAATGTATAGATTGCTGTTTAGAAGTATTTAACCTGTAATACGTATTCGAATCGCACAAAAACAATTAGTCACAAGATAAGTCACACTCACTTGTGCTCCAGAGTTTGGTTATTTTTAATTCAAAAGAATTCTGCATAATACTAACGCAGCATCAGAGTATAATTTTGTGTGTGCTATTTTAAATAGTATCATTATTCACTATTTTTCTCTTGTCACCTTTTCCCGCTAATTGTAAATTATTAAGATATCCGACTACGTTCGGAACCATAATTTTAAAAAAAGAACATAAGTAGTTAATTTTCATGATACTTAGTATTAGTTCAGAATATATATATATATAAAATTGTTTTAAGGACATTATCACAAAATTAATTATTTAAATACAATATTTTGGCAAAAAGTTAACTTAGAATAACCTTTATTTAAAACGTTCTCCTTTTATAAAAAATGCTTCTATAATAATAATATTTTGCTATAACGTAAGACTTCTCCAGAGAGTCTGAACTAAGAATTTTGAAAAATTCACATTATTTTCAGAGTTACCACCAACTGAAATAATTATCAGCATTTTTTTCTTAAAATTTTTCCTCTCTGTTCTAGTAAAATATGGATGCATCCACTTCTAAGTTATATATTTCAAAAATTCTAGTTAAGCCTCTATACAGATTTCTGAGCTATATACAGGCAAAATATTATTATAATAAAAACATTTTTCATAAAGGGAGAATGTTTTGAAAATGCGTCATTCTATGCTTATTTTTTGTCAAAATATTGTACCTCAATCGTTTTTTTATTGTAATAATATTCTTAAAACAATTTTAAATACTTTTTCTAATCTAAATAATACTATCACAAATATTATCCATTTATACTCTTTTGCAAAATCACGGTTCCGAACGTAGTCGGATACCTTAAATAAATAATATAGTATATTTTGACAATTAATTCCAACTATTCGGTTAAAGGTATTGCATTAAAAACATACAAATAAACTTAAGTAACGAAGCACAAAATGTGATAAATTAACTGTAAATAAGATATTTACCGTGTTAAATAAAATAAGTAACCTAGTTGTTTTTGAACTGATTAATGTTTCTGTAAGTAATTATGGTGATATCTGGGGTTAAATACACATACATTGCTTACTACAGTAAAATGATTACTAAACATTTCTTTTAAAAATTACGAGAAATTGCCTAATACCATAATTAAAACATAATATAGTACCATTCACAGTAACTGTAATTACATACTTTTGGAAGATAGACGTCAATTTATTAAGTTACATTACTAAAATATTCATGCATTTCATCTGTTTAAATTATATGAATTTTTAAAGTATTACTATTTTATTTATTTTCACAACTTGAAGCTGGAGATTTTTTTTCTTTTGTAACATAAAATAAGCGGTGTATCTCCATCTTTTTCGAATACTGATAAAAAATAAATAATGAGCCATTTATTTTGTTTTGTTAAATAACCAATAAAATTAATTTTAAATATGCTTCTTTAATATTCATGGAATGAAAGTAAAATAATTTTTTGGTTGCTTTTTAGTCTTCAAACAAAAAATGAAAAATAATTTTTATTTTCTTCGAAGTCAGTTCTTTTGGTTAGATATTTATTTCTTTTCTAGTATAATTCTTTTTCCGTTGACTTTTTATCAAAAGGACAATTTATTTTAATCGCTTCCACATGATTAAAAACGCTTTTCAATCTTTTAAAAGGAGTAGATTTTTTTTTTCAAACTTAAAATTTATTTTCAGTGATTTGTAGTTTGAAAATAATTATAGTAATCTCTCTGAATGCATACTTACATCTATAGTTTTTTAAATGCTTTGATGCGAAATTTTTAATTAGACTTTTCATGACTCTTATTTTAAAAATTGCCATTTAAGACTTCATAAGACGTTTCGTTCAAAAAAAACACTACCCTTTTGACAAAAGTAGAAATTTAATACTTAAATGCTTAAAGAAAATATTTTTTTTCTAACTTAAATGATAAAAGCTTGTGTTTTAAAATTAAAATTTTTTCGAGTAAAATTTTTTAATACGAGTAGTATTAGTTTTAAAAACATAATAATTTTTATTATAAAAAGTACAGAGTTTTAGAAAGATTACAGTGTTTTTATTACTTTTTTTTGAGGACACATAATTTCCTGTCGTTATTCGGGCGTGTTCTTAATGCAAACATTAATTGATTTGTATGTAAAATTAATTTGTATTGGTCAAATGGTGAAATAAAATCTTTTGAAGAATAACAAGTTAATGCATGAAGAATTTCTTTTTAAAAACAAGACATTAATTAAAAAAGATAAATAACATAATTGTACGCTAGTTTATCTACATATGGAGAGTTTTATTTGTTAAACTAAAAAATAATCTCATGTATTGGCATCATACATTCCAATGTTAACTGAGTGAAATTGATATCAACAACCAGTAAAATTAGAAATGTAACTTTTTTTTTTAAAGAATGACTTTTTAAGGTGTAATAATTCTTTAGCAACATGGACTATTTTTTCTTTCTTTTTTTTTAATTTACTTTGATTTTATTGAAAATTTGAGAAAATATCGAGGAAAAAAAATTTTTTTTTACAGACAATGGTTAGAGCAGTGCTTCTCAAAGTCGCAATATTCCCGACAAAATATTCAACAATAATTTTCATCTTTCCCCCTCATACAATAACAATGTATTGAACTCAATAATAATATACTTTGATGCTAAAACTATTATACGATTTTAAAATCTTAGTGCTACTGATGAATATAAACGTCTGGCTCAGCCAAAGCGTTAATTTCCCTGCCCATATAAAAACCTCTTACTGAAGTACGATCTTTTTTGTGCAATGCTATCAATACAATTATTCCGAAGTCTTCGGAATGCAATAAAAGGACTTTGAAAATGTTTGCGAAGGATTTTCTTACTTTAGATTATTTACTTCTTTATTCCTTCCTCCACCCCAATACATCGCATATGCACGCCTACGTGGAAAATGGTTGACATTGGGAAGCGATTCGCGTAACATTTAATCCGCAATTAAAAATTAATTCTATACAGTACAAATTATCAAGATAAGTGATAATTTTTGTATATAATTTTACATATGACAATACCATAGTGTTACTGGTAGTTATTAAACTTGTTCTTAACTTAGTATTGTTAAATTAATTATAAAATACATTGCGTAGCACTGATACATTTATAAGTGTAATTTATCAATGTAAATATGTACTTTATTTTTTATTATATCAGAACGTATTTTGTTTATTTACTTTCCGTAAATGAATAATTTTTTTAAAAATAATCTTTTGTTTTCGACTTCTAAATAGAATCGCGCCCCCTTGTAGAATTGTTACGCCCCCAAGAGGGGCACGCACCACAGTTTGAGAAACGCTGGGTTAGAGAGAAAATGCGAAGTTTTACAGTATACTTAATAGTTAAAGTTAATATTTTTGTGCAGGATATGGTGCGACATCGGCTATTATCCCTACTGTACACTTTGACTTTTTATACAGGCTGTTGACAAACTTGACTGACAAATTCAAAGGGGTGATAGTAGGCAGCGTGGGGAAGACAAAACACCATATATGGGTTCGAAAACCACCTTTCGTCGTTGAAAATCTTGACAACAGTAGCTGTTGGGAGGCTGATGATCTAGAAGAGGAGAGTAGCCAAACAAATTCAATGATATACATATACATCTCGAATGCCTCAAGGGCGCGATATAACATCCTCCGAGAGTTGCTACAGGGAGTACTTGTCAGTATACACTAGAACGCGTTGTTCATGCACGTGGCACATCAACACTTTTTTATTGCTCGGCATAACCACCTCCATCGCTACATATCCCGGGAAGTTGATTGGAAACTGTAGACCTATTGCATGGCCTCCAAGTTCCCCGGATTTCAATTCCTTGAATTTCTCTTTATGGGGTCACCTGAAATCGTTTGCGTATGAGACGCCGGTGTCAACAATGGAGAATCTCGCATCAAAAATCCTCGTCACTTCAGCTGATATCGCCAGCATAACGGATTTCTTTGAACGCATATGACAACCCTTTATCCGTCACTGTCGGCTGTGCTATGAACTACGCCGACACAACTTCAAACAATTGCTGTCGCAATCCTTGCATTTCTGACGTCGAGGTGTGATGCTTTGTTCGTATGTAAACATGCTTTACGTGTAATAAATGTATTCCTTATCTGTTATTAACCCTTTTCATTCCAATTGACATCACCCCTTTTGTAACTGTTTTTACAAACTATCCCCACTAAACGTGGTTTGCAACTTCCTGTTCGATGTTTGTTTTTGGACCACATGCTTCCAACTATCGCTGGTTTCATTCTTTCTCTCGAAGTTGGCAACATTCTTATACTTCGTTTAACTCGGTGCTTTCACAATAGTTCTTTTAAAATTATGAATTTATGACAGAAGAAAAGAGTTAAAGCACAAAGAGGTGTGAGTTTTAGAA